GTTAACTGAAATACCCTGTACTTTGCTCTGGGAAGTCTGGGGGGGAGGGTGGGATGGGGGGAAGGGGTGGGGGGGGGGGGGGGGAGGGAAAAAGGGGGGGGGGGAAATTTGGGGGAATTTTTTTTTCTGTAAAACTTTTCAATAAAAAAAAATATTTCTGATAATGATACTAATGTACCAAGATTTCACTTCTGTGAACAATGCAGAAAAGTTGACATGAAATAAGTGATTTCTTTGTTTATGATACATCTCTGCATGTCTGCTTTTTTGTAATTGCAAAACAATGACTACTCATTGTATTATTATATTATGTAGTCACTCTTCAGTCCTTTGTACAAATGGAAGGTGTTAAATAGTAACTGAGTTAGATTAATTTACTAGTTAATTTTTTTTAAGTACAGGTGATATTTTTCATTTTTGGATTTACACACACATTCAGCCTGTATTTATGAAATGTTTTTGAAAAGCTTATACATGTAAATACTGTATGATAATTTTTTCCATTCCTAAATTCATACTGATTTCATGTAGCTGATTCATTCTTGGCAGAAGAAGAGTTCAATTTATATTTTAATTTAGTCTTCAATATTAAATGATGTGAAATTGCAAGTACAATTTAACATTGGTCTAGTTCACATTTTAGATTACTCATTATTTTTATACCTAGCAACCCTCTGAAGCTTTCTCTCATTTAGCTAACAGGAATATATTAGATCTCAGTATGAGTATATGAAGAATCTGTATCTAAGAAAGCAATTAAGTAGTTAAAATCGATTCTTAGGTCCTGTTCAAGTGTTGGTTATGGGCTTGCTCCTTGATATTACAGTACTTATTTCAGAAGTCAAAAAATTAGGATGTGATTTACAAATAATCCATTCAATGTTATATATTGGCTATGCAAAGTGAGTTTGGATTTTGGGCCATGCTGGTTCCAGGATTATGCCATCTTTGGCACTGGATGAGATTGGATGGCCACAAATGAAACTAGTGCACAATCTTAGGGTCTTCCTGTACTCATGACTCCTGCTCAAAGAACAGTTGGCTGTCATGGCTAGAAAGGCATTTGCAGTTATTCCTAGTTTGGGGAACTATATTCTAATTACTCATCCCTAGTGCCTTCTGACTGCATTGCAGTAATGTGCTTCAGCTAGTGCAAAATGCAGGGGCACAGACAGTTATGTATGCATCTAAAACAGCAGCAATTATTCAAGCTACATTGGTTTTCAATGTAGTCTGTCTTGCAATTCAAAGTGCTGGTTTTGACCTTTAAAACTCTTCATGGCATGGGACTGGACTATTTGAAGGACTGCCAATTGTGATTCTACTTTTTACCTTGTTTCTTGTGCAACTACACTCGACTGCCCAAGAATTCTGCCCTGATGCCCACCTTATAAAACACTATTTCCCTTTACCCTGAAATGAGGTCAGCTTTATCCCATTTTATTTTCCACAGGTCTCTCCAGATCTGGTTTGTCATCAGGCTCGGGAATCTCAGGGAACTGGTGAGATCTTGAGGTGGCTCTGTTGTGGATCAAATCTCTGGTATGTGCTCTTTTAAAAAAACCGATAGTGTTTTTATCCTTTTATTATGTTGCCCAGAGACACTAGGTCAGTTCTTCTGAGATCAGCAGCCATGTAAATAATATGTGTGTGGCACATGAATACACACATTCAATTTTTAGTGATAGCTACCTCAAATACTTTATTTTTAATTATAATCAAGCTGCTTATAGATAATTTGAAAGGCAATTGGAAACAAAATGATATCATATTAGATGTCAAAAATCATTGGTTTACTGATATCTCTTACATCCTCTTCTACCAATGATGCTTCACCTTTTCTCCATGCTAAAATTCCCATGACATTGGCTTGACATTCTGTGACTGCTAAATGAATGTTTGTTTTGCTTAGTTTGATAGGTTTGTAGACTATAGAACAAAGTCCATATTTCCTCGCCAAAATACATTTGATGTATTTTATGATTCTTCCCATCCACCAATATATCTCCAAATGCATCTCAGACTTTAGAGGTTAGTTGTGGAGACTTTGGGCTCCTGGCCCAGTTTCCAGTTTTTTTTCATAATCCTGAAACTATTGTTCCATTTAGATAGATAGATCTTCTGATCTTTTGCTTAAAGATTAATGGCTTCTTCCTCTTTCTTTCCTCTTTCTTATTTTTGGATTATTTTATGAACCCTCAAATAGAAGCTAATTTCTCTTCGCCAGTGTATACATTGATTGAAGTTCTGGATGCTTGTGATGCTGCTTATCCAGGCAGTTCAGTCCAATTCAAAAGTATAGAAACTAGAAACAATGACTTTGTATTTGAACATAGATAGTGACATATTTAGTTTGGTATTTTAGGAGATACCAAAGTATTGAATAAGCACATTTATAAAAGTAATTGATGGCTTGAAACTTATTAGTTTTTAATCTTTCCTCGGGTAGGATTTAGACTGAATGAACTGAAATAAATGGTAATTGATGGAATATTTTAGTAGTGAATGGTATTCACTACTAAAATATTCCATCAATTTCACTAATGAGGTATAATGGTTAAAATGCTAGACTAGGAGTGGGTAGATCCAAGCTGAAATCTTCATTCTGCCACAGAAACTCACTAAATGACTCTCAACACAACCTGCCTCACAGGATTGTTGTGAGGATAAAATTAAATGAGGGGAAATTATATATGTTGTCATGGGATGTAACTTCAAAAACTAAGACTAAGTGACCTGATGTAGATTCACCCTTTGTTCGTTATAAATTGAAAGATAATATACATGTTAAAAGATATTGTACAATGTTATAATCTCTTCCTAACTACTTATCCACGTATAATTAAAGGATTCAGTCTTTAGTTAAAAGCATTCATATTTATTGTTTCAAAAAGAAACAAAGGCTGTCCATATTTCAAAAATGATTCAGAAGAAGTGCTTCCAGGTTTACATAAACAAAACACCTTTCTGCTATTTATCAAGGCCCTCTGACTTTTTTAGATTACACACAAATAAAGAAAATATGGGGATGCTGTTTCTTTAAGAAATTTATTAATTTAAATGATGCTGTTGTTATAAGAGCAAGGGTTTTCTTTGGAGTCTCATCCAAAAGCTTTAAAAATGTTGTGCTACTTTAATGAATAGAAACACTGCATTTGTCCCCTTGTTAAGTCTGAGGCTTTTTTTCCTAATCATTTTTGAAGCTTGAGCAACATTATGGAAAGCTACATAAACATATCATTTTTTTCAAGGAACAAACACATTGAATGGGAAATAAAAGATTGATTCATTTAGTTTCCTATCTAGTTTAAAGAGTGCAACTTAAAACTAAACTTCATCCCTGGAAATCATTTGGTTTGCTTGGATAACATATGTAAGTATATAGGTCCTTATAAAGGAAGGAGAGAAATCAAATTTCAGATCGGAAGAGAAAATATTATGCATACAATTTTTAGAGTTAAATACTTTGGAGAGAATTTAGGATAACATCCTCTTGAATAAGAGGTAAGGATTGTTGTTTTTATTTAAATTGAATAAGGATTTACATTTAATAAACATGGTTTATTAAATATGGATTAGTAAATAATAAAGAATAAGCCCACAGCTTTTCTCACACCTTTATATGTACTATTGATCCCCAGACTGTGTATGAATCAGTTTTTATTTCTGATATTTTCAGCTGACAATAGCTGAAGAGTATTATTCTTGAAGAATATCATGAATATTAATTTTACTTAGGAAATATATGTAATTTGGTGGTAGATTTGAGGCCCTTTGTGTTGTGACTCACAGGGCTGAAATATTATTTTAAATATAGTACCTGGAATATTTAATAGATGGTAACTTCTTTGCATCAAAACAAAAACTAGATATGTATTCTGTCATTTGTGTTTAATGCTACCATTCTTACAGGAAAAAAGCAATAATACCAAAAATAACATTGTAGGGCTACTGATCATCTTTGGATAGGAAGAAAGGAAAGCATATAAATTTAATAAATCTACCTGAATTTCTGGAATCAAAACCTTACAATTACTTAATACACTTATTAATGTTTATAATTAAGTGTATTACTTAATACACTTCAGCCAGTAATTTAAATCTGTACCTAAAGTAATTGTTTTTAAGACTGAAAGTATTACCGTAAGTATTTGAAAAGAGTGAAAATAAGTGTTTTAAAAGTGGTTTTCAATCTGAAATGTTTTACAACAATTTAAATGAATAGCTAAGTATCAGCAACACTGCAATATCTATAATGGTTAACTTGTCTTTAAAAAAATTAATACGAAAGGTTTTGGCAGTGTTATAATACAGTAGATACCTGTGAAAGGTACACAAGGGTATGCTGAGCTTCCATTGTTGATTTTGTGGTTAGATAATTTCTAGATTATAACAGTTGAAGTTGGAATTTAAACTCTTCCTCTCCTGACCATAATTTCTTAGGGAGTGGAAGGTTCCCTCTTTTCTTAGCCAAAGAAATATATAGTTAAACGGTCCAGGTTTCTTGGGAGAATTGTGGAAATGCTGAACTAACAACCTCACGAGTAAAACCTGCCTTGGTGGAGTTTGGCACCAGTTGAACGGACACCTGGACGCCATGAATTGCTTAGGGCAGGAAGGTAGCCTCCTCTTCAGTTGATTCCTTCCGCTTGGAGAGGCTATCTCCAAATCTGCATTTATTCTCCGAGAAAAATGATGCTGGGGCTTGCCAAAACAATCCCAAGGAAGTGAAAGGCTGGGAACGAAGCGGGGCACTTCCCGGCGAGGCGTGTTACAGCGTTGAGCGTCAACTTTAGTTCCTGCCTGCTAAGCTTGAGTGCTAGAAAGGAAAGATGAAACATACCGACACAGAAAAGCGCGTCGGTTAGCAAAGATAAAGGGGGCTACCGTTTCCATCCTGGGGGGCTAGATCCACGTTGGCTGGCTCCTTCGTCCTTTGCGAGCTGGGCTGGGCTGAGCTAGGCTGGGCTGGGCTGGGCTGGGCTGGGCTGAACTATACTCGCCTCTCTCCCCCTTGCGTACTTGCATCTCCAGCTTTTCAGCACTGGTTGGGCGGGTGTTGCGTCTTCTTTCTTCTGCGCCTCCGGCTCCCGGTGGGGCGCGAGGGGAAACCAGGTCATCAACGCCGAGACAGAAAAACCGGCTTGGGAAGTGGGACTGATTTAGGTGCTGCTGCTGCCCATCAGGCTGGGAGGTTGAAAAGGAAACGGAGGAGTCTCTCTGGCACCTCACTTCACCCGTTCGGGCACCTTAATAACAAGCACCGATTAGGGAAGAAAACAGGCCGGAGCTGCAGCAACGACAACCCTTGATTCCGGCTGCGGAGTTGTTTTCGGTGAGTGGGTTTATCTCCTTGGACTCTAGGCAGGAGTTCCCAGCTGGACTTGACCGAAACGGGAGCAGATGTGATAGCAGATGTTTGGAAATGGGATATTTTTAGAAACCGGCTGCCCTGGGATTGTGTGAAACGCACATTGGAGGGGCTACTTTAGCCGAGAGGAGGGGAGGGGAGGGAAATGGTCCAGGACCTCAGCAAACGTATTTCCAGGGATCTCTGTTGTTTTTCAGAAGGAAATTGTTTTCATTTCTATGTATTTCAGCCGCGATCAATCAGCCGGGGATGGAAGAGATAAACTGCAGATTTCTTTTCTTCGCGCTAATAATGTACGTGAGCGTATGTCTGTATTTGACTTTTTTTTTCTTCCGAGAAGTGAATCGGGGTTTTCCATCTTAGCTCTTGACAGAGTATGTCATCGCAGGATTTTTCACTTTATTAAAAATACATTAAAAAAAAAAAGTCGCTGTCTCCGGCCAATGTATACATAGTTGTCTAAACTATGTTGCTTTTTTGTTTGTTTTTAATGTCTGTGGCATACTTACTGTAGCCACCATGGACGGAAAGAGTGGAAGTTTCCATGATGAGTAAGTTATGTGACAAGGGATCTTGTAGGAAGATGTTCTTGCCGCAACTCGCGAGAAACGGGTTGCGCTGCAGATTGGGGAGAGAGACTCCGGGTGTCTGACATGTTTGTGTGGGCGTGTGTTGAAGATGTTTCCGAAAAAGACGGTGAGGTGTGGGTTTTTTGTTGTTGTTGCTCTTCTTGATTTTGTTTTAAAGTTTTCTGACCTGTGTGTCAGCTGAAATCTTAAATATGTATTCTTTAAAACTGAGGTCAGGGGGCTTTGTTTTCCAACAAACTCAAATCCTCGTGTAGAAAGATTTTACAGGATCAGGTTTCAATAGCTAGATTTTTTTTTTTAAAAAAAAGCAGTGGTTGACACAGATCTTCTACAATTAATATATGAATTATGTGATTTTCTACTCCATTTTCAGATTTTTATCCTCCTCCTCCTCCTCCTCCTCCTCAATTTACAACTGTATCTAAAGTAGCAGCCTTTTAAATAATCAGCAATATTATGTGTATTTCTCAGTGTTCTGGGAAATGTCAAGAGCAGCCTATATGGTTATCCAGAGGCATTATTATATAGCTGTTAAAACAGCTTTTGGCAGCCTTCAGATGTGCTGGTTTTAGTTCCATTGTGGTCAATATCTAACAATTTCAGTCTAATAATTTGAAATGATAAATTCAATTATTAGATTAGGAATGGCAAGATAATGGTTCAAGGCCCTATTCAAGCATGTACTTTACTGGGTGATTTGAGCCAGTTTGTTTTCCATTTTGGCTTTACACTTTCAGAGAATCCTGGGAGTTATAATTCAAATTCATCTAAAGAAAAGCCTAGAAAGTCTAGTACTGTAGGAGCAGAGTAGAAAGTTGAGTCTGGTTATCCCCAGATTTAATCCAAGGCAGTTTTCTTGATTTGGAGCCCTAAAAATATTTGGGGCTACAGCCTTTCCTTTGTAGCACAAAGCAATTATAGCACAATATATCCAGAAGAGCCCAGATCGAGGCAGTATGCTATAACTATTATCACACTGACTATTCTATAAACAGTATTGAACTAAAGCTAATAGCATGAGAGTGATTTATAAGGATAATGAAAATAATTGTTTCTGAAATAGCTGTCATTTTCTTTCCTTGTTTTGGTTACTGTATAGGTTTGCATATAGATATTCATTAATCATTAGTCTGATAATATCTGTCTAGTTTCTTCTAAAATGAAGTGTGATCTTCTTGAAAGCCAGTTCTTCTTCTTGGACAGTTTGTCCCAACAACACCCTTTTCAAAAGTATGTTTTGAGCAATCCAGTGATGAATTTAAGCATCAATTTAAGGAACATTAGGAGTTACTTTGTACTTAGTCAGATCATTGGTCCATGTACCCCAGTAATGTCAACATTGACAGGAGTCAAAGGCTGAATTATATGATTTATTTGGTTTCAGTTTAGTGTTTATATAACATGGAAAAGTCTACCCTGTTTCCCCCAAAGTAAGACATCCCCTTATAATAAGCCCAATCGGGCTTTTGAGTGCATGGCAATAAGGTCAAGCGCTTATTTCAGGGTTCAAAAAAATATAAGATAGGGTCTTATTTTCGGGGAAACACAGTAGTTGTCAGTATAACTTGAAAAAGATTAATGTCTTGTGATTTATCAAATAAATCAAGTTTCTGATACCTGAACCATCCATTGCCTGACAATAGCATCCCAGGATTCCCAGCTGGAGTTTTGTAATCCTATCTGAAGATCCTAGTTAATATTTTATATGTAAACAATACCTTAAAGCCCTCCGATAGTCTTTTCAGAATTAAGAAAACACTATGCTTCTTACCTCCAGTTATGTTTTAAGTCTCAGTACAAATTGATATCCAATTTTAAAATTTAAAAATTTTAAATTTAGCAATATTTTTCTCTTTATAAAGTCTAGGAATTACAATTATAGGAGGCATTATTATAGTCATGAATTGCAAACAGAATTTATAGCATTCTTTGGAACAAGCAACAACCATTAAACTGGTATAAAAGTGATGTACCACTTGTGTCAACAGATCCTGATGAGTTTACAGCACTTTGAACTATTATGGCCTCCTCAAAATGATCTTGTGAATTGCTTACTGAGGATGTTTGTCTTTTTAGAAATTTCTAGCTCCTTGAAATTTCAAGAAAGAATGACATTCCTTAGGGAAAGAATGACTATTCAATTAAAATCTAAAGTGCAAGTGCTTGTTTTGCAAAGAATCAGTTTTCTTGCTTGTTGTTCACTAGAATCAAATGAACACTGATTTGATTTATAGATTGAAACCTAAAAATACAAACCCATTTCTGGATCAGGATTCCTTTACTAGCTATTCTGGGATAAGAATGTGAACGGTGCCTGTGTGTTAAAATTAAATACATAGATAGCTTTTATGCTATTGGAATCAGTATGATGAAGTCTATGACCTATTTTATATATGAACATTAATAACAGATAATATTTACCCCAAAGAAAGCCACCACCTCTCCCCAAATCATTATATATGTCGACAAAATCTTATTCAAGATTCTTCATTCAGTTTACCTAGAGTTGTCAACTCTACTTAGAGATACCTTTCATCCAGAAATGTATGTATGTCTGCATTATACTTTTGTGTGCCTGTTTGTATGTATGTATGTGGTGGCTCAGTGGCTAAGACACTGAGTTTGTCGATCAGAAGGTTAGCAGTTCAGCGGTTCGAATCCCTACCGCTGTATAATAGAGTGAGCTTCCATTACTTGTCCCAGCTTCTGCCAACCTAGCAGTTCGAAAACACGTAAAAAATGCAAGTAGAAAAATAGGGACCACTTTGGTGGGAAGGCAACAGCACTCCGTGCATCTTCAGCACCAGCCACATGAGTCATGCCAGCCACATGACCATGGAGATGTCTTTGGACAGCGCTGGCTCTTGGGCTTAGAAACAGAGATGAGCACCACTCCTAGAGCTGGAAACAACTAGCACACATGTGTACCTTACCTTTATGTATGTATGTAAATCTACAAAGAGACATCTAGAAAGGGAATCAAGGTTCTTTAATCAAGAATCAATTCAGGATTTTTTTAAAATCAGAAATCAGTTATCTAATGGATCATAGTAAAATAAGACTACCAGTTTTAGTCTTTCACTAAAAAATTTGAGGACAAGGCAATTAAATAGTTTATCTTTAGTATATGTAATTGGGAACATATTTAAATGTGTGCAAGTTGTTGACATCTAATACTTTTTGCTAATCATTTCTTACTATTTTTAAAATAGATTTTGGTATGATTCCTGAATGAAACAAAAGAGATTATAAAATTTCAGTGTTTTGGAAGAGCTTGAACTTGGGGTTAGAAGGAAAATATGGGCCTAGGGTTAAGAGTTATGTATTTCCATTGGAATTGGAAAGATTTTGTGACATTATTAAAATGAATAATTTCATTTATTTTAATAAGCTAACTTTATGACAGAGGAGTATTAAGAAATATAAGAGGAATCATGATTTTTACTTCGTTATGCTTCATAATTATGAAATTATATATAAAGTAAATGCAACAGTCCCTTCTGGATAGGGTTTACAGGAAATATATATATATATAATCCGTAATTTTTAGCATTATGGATCTTAGAATTGAAGTTTTTAAAAATCAATATTATGTTTTTCACGAAGAGTTGAAAAATGCTGATTTAGAGCTAGAGACTTTCTGAAAATTAGTACTTGGTTGAAATGTGCTTTATAGATCTTCCCTTTTTGGTCTCTAGGGAATTTGTCATAACATCCATTATATGTGTTTTTTCTTTTTCATTACTTTCAATCAGACATTGAAGAAATAAGCCAACTAATAAATCCAGCAATCTATTATATTTATTGAAAATGTGGTATAATCAAATATGCAATACACCATATCATAACTTTACACAATGCATAATACTTTGTCATTTTCTGGATTTTATTTCAATTCATTATCATACAAATCTTAAGTCTTACATTATAGAATCTTAAACTACAGACATAAATTCGGATGAAAATCTACCCTCAAAGGCTTGAGACATGATTTTCTGATATCTGTTTCTGATGTCCATTATGATTTATTTTAAGATTACTAAAAAGGATCAAAGAATATGACAGCACGTGTCTGACCTAATCTGGGAAGATAAGCAGTGTTTGGCATAGTTAGTGCTTGGATGGGAGATAATCCAAGAATTTCAGGTTGTAAACTGGAACTGGAAGTAAAAAAAAATTCTGAAAGAAGGTAAACTGTATAAATGTATCCATGTAATTATCAAAACTTGAACTCAGCTCCAGGGCATCCCTAGATTGATTCCTGGTTGACCTTGGCTAATTACAAAATGCTAGGTAAGAGTCTACTTCCTTAATATTTGGATAGATTATAAAATCACAACAACATCATGTAAATTGTCAAGAAAACTGCAGCTA